TTATGTTTTATGTGCGGATAGAGAATGAGAGAGAAAGAGAGAGAGAGAGAGAGAGAGAGAGAGAGAGAGAGACCTAAGACTAAGACTACATTAGAGAAATATAGTCGGGAAACGACATGAAATCTGAGACCTAATGGATATCTTATACGACTGACTGACTCAATGACTGAATGAATGATAGAGAGAGTGAGGATAGGGAGTGAAAGGGAGAGAACGGGAGGGTATGTGTTGGCGATGCTGTGAGAGATGAATGATTATTAGTTCCGCCATTTCTTGAGTGTCCCCTAAACGACACGACATTCCGTCCGACAAAACAGAAACAGTTGTTCAGCACAGAAGAGGATAAGATTGTTGCTTAGGATAGGGGATAGGGATATGCAGTGCATGTAGTGGTGTAGTCAGGGATGGTATGGATTGTATGAAGTGTTTGGTGTTTCAAATGAGATCACAATTCCATTCGCCAGACAGAGAAGGCATAGGAAAGCCTTTCGTGGGCCACATATGAACAGGCAGTCGCCAAACGGCTGTCTATTGGCTCCTCTTTTCGCAAAACCTATAATTCATGACAAAAGAACTCATCAGAACCTCTGGTGTACAGGAGATCCACTATTCTCTATACAGTGTACATCCCTGTCCTCCCGATTTCTGCCTTTATTTTAGATAACTTTACTTATATTTCTTGTAATTGGATTCAAACTCAGGGCTCACTCCTCGCTGTAAACCCTATCCCTCGCTAAAGACCTTACATTCTGTTTGACTCTTAATTTATTGACTCATTAACTCTCATTAAACATGTTTTTTATTCCCGATTTTTTAGTCATTAGTTTTGATTTCATACAAAAACGGTTTTCAAAAAATATTCAAAATGTTCACATGTGTTCATGTAATTATGTTTTCAATTCAAGCGAGCGATTGAAATTGAAAGTAATTCATGTCTAAAGTTCTTGTAAGCAAGGTTATTGTGACAAATGTTTTTCGCATTTGTATCGTTAAAATTAAGTCAAACAATATATAAACTTAAACTCTTTAGATCTAAGTTTAGATTCTTAAACTTTTGTCTAAAACTTTGACACATAAAATAGTTTACAAAACTTAAAACTACGATAAAAGGCATATTAAATAATAGAAACAAAATATAATAAAAATATGGACAAACCTGGTAGAGGAACTGTATGTAACGTGAGGCCAACTTAAGAGTCTGTATTTTGCTTAATTTATCGGACGGAAGGGTAGGAATAATTTTCCTGAGCTGTGAAAAGCCCTGATTCAGGGACTGAGTCCGTTGTCTTTCCCTGACATTCGCCACAATCCTCTGATTTTGCATTTCATCCCAATTGAGTCCCGAAAGCTCTAAGTCCGAGGCATTCGTGTCCACTAAGTCTTGGCTGTGGAGCTGTTGCTGTTGTTGTTGGATCTGATGGTCAGTCGGCAGCCGATTGTCATTCATCATCCGCTTCTTCACACGTGAGGAACAGTCGGATAAGTGTTTATAACAAACGGTTTTCCTTCGTTTACGAGACGACGGCTTATCGCCGGTTAGGGTTAGCTGTGAGTCCATGCGATCCATCGGTTCCATGACATCCATGTCGTCCAAGCGGTCGGACGACGAGCTCTCAGTCGAGTAATCACTTCTTAGAAACAACTTTTTGCTGTCATTCAGATCGAAATACTTCAGATCCAACTCTTCGTTCATTTTGATTATTATACACTTTTTATACAAACTATTAT